GGCTTTAATGACTTCGAGCTCAGACCCCTGGACCGCATCGTGCTCTCTTGAGACCGTTGCTCGGTCGAGCTGCGCACTTATCGGTGTTCTTGACGGAGTGTTGAGGTTGATTATCCGATGCTGGTTTGTGGGACGCCCATGTCTTTCAATTGTAGATGGGGATGAGTTCGCTCGCGGTTGCTGTGACTCGGTCGGCCGAGAAGAATCTAACTGTTCTTGTATGACGGTATGGGCGTTCGTCAGTGTATCGAGACGATCTTTCGTTCGCCTGAACATGTCATCCTGCTGGTCGAATCTCCGCATGAGGGTGCCTAGCACGCAAGCAAAGTTGATATGCTCGTCCACGATAGCCTCGGCTTCAAGGCCGCTTGTCACGGCAAGTGCTCCTTCGTCGGCCGTTGTTTGAGTGACCACCGTGCTGGCCTCGATCGGTGTGGGAGAAGCCTCGTGGACCGCTTCGGCGGTCTCCTATTGCGATGCCTCCATGTTTTGCCGACTTGTTGATGCGTCCGGACTCATATTTCTTTGTGTCAGAAATCTCCAAGCCCCTTACCTAGCGCGCCAATTGTTTAACCAAAGGATCGAACAATGAATTTATAATAGGGAAGAGGTCGGAGAGTTTCGTGTATTAGAAATTGATCCTGGAACGGATATTACAGAATAGACCGCTATAGATATTCCAGACAGGTCCCGGTCTATCTGGTCGTTATAAGTAGTAGACTGGACAAGTTCCGGACTACTAAATAACTGCGAATAAATAACAGTAAGTGAATGCTTTGTGATATTTTCCGGTCGGTAGTGACTTTCCGGTGGACTCTCCGTCGGAATTAGAGGCCTGAACAATTCTGCTTTGAGTCCTTTGTACTCTCTCTCAGAGGAATGAATAATATATCTGGTCACATCACATTATTCTCCTATTTATAGTACTAGGTTGAAGGGTACATACTAGGTTTTATTAACTGTAGTTACTGAATCTGACTCAGGCTTAACCAGACCGTGGTTACTGTTCGAGTTGGGCCTTTACTGTTTGCGGGCTGCAGACTTTGACCTTCAAAGTCTATTAGGCCGCAGGTCCAGGCCCGATAGTTAGTTCGAAGAGAGCTATAGACGCTCGAGTAGACGATGGGTCGGGTCGGGTCAACGCTTAACGGATCCGGTTCGACATGATCGGTGTAGATCCAAGTTCCTCCGACTTGATTCTGCCTCTCGAAGACAACCACCGAGTGACCTTCCCGTCGGAGCTCTCTCGCCGTCACTAGACCGGTGGCTCCAGCTCCAATGACTGCCACGTGGCGTGATTTGATTGGTGATAAGGACTGTTGTGCCATTTTGGGTTTTTAGTTACGTACGAGAGACAATTATTCTTGTTGGGTCAAAAAGGCCATTGAGATTTTGGTGTTTAGTATGGCCCACCAAATTCAACAACCACAATTTTCTAAGAAAAACTTCTTTACCCAAAAATGGTTCGACGGGTTAATTCATTGTTGACCAGAATTAGACCGGGTTTGATTACTCTTGACAAAACTGAAACTAAACCGGGTTCGACGGGTGTTTACAATAATAAGATTGAAAATCAAAATGGAACCTCTATCGAAAAGGAAAAAACTACAAAACCGAAAAAGGAAATTAAATTTAACAGTTTGCCTATAAAAAGAAGGTCTCTCTACTGCAAAGTTTTATTTTCAAAACATCTCTCAATCTAGCGATCTTGGAAGGAGTTACTGTCCTTGGAAGATTAAGAAGAACATTCCACGACACTGGATTGCTAGTTTTGAGAAAAGAAATTATTAAACTTA